GCAGTATAAAGGATCAATGAAACAAAGAGCTGGTTCTTTGAGACGATAAATAAATCTGACAAACCCCTAGCCAGACTTACAAAGAAAAAAAGAGAGAAAGCTCAAATAAACAAAATCAGAAACGAAAGAAAGTAATAACAACAGACTCCACAGAAATACAATGGATTATAAGAGAATACCACGAAAAACTATATGCCAGCAAAATGGATAACCTAGAGGAAACGGATAAATTCTTGGACTCCTACAATCTCCCAAAGCTCACTCAAGAAGAAGCAGACAATTTGAACAGACCAATCACAAGGAAAGAGACTGAAACAGCCATCAAAAGCATCCCAAAGAATAAAACCCCAGGACCAGACGGCTTTCCTGGGGAATTCTACCAAACTTTCAGAGAGGATTTAATACCTATCCTTTTCAACTATTCCAAAAAATTAGGGAGGGTGGAACACTTCCTAACACATTCTACGAGGCCAACATCACGCTGATACCAAAGCCTGACAAAGACAGCACAAAAAAGGGGAACTACAGGCCAATATCGCTGATGAACATAGATGCAAAAATTCTCAACAAAATTTTGGCAATCGGAATTCAGCAATTCATCCAAAGGATCATACATCATGATCAAGTGGGATTCATACCAGGGACACAGGGATGGTTCACAAAAAATCAAACAACCTGATCAAAAAATAGGCTGGAGACATGAACAGACTTTTCTCCAAAGAAGATATACAGATGGCCAATAGGCACATGAAAAGATGTTCATCATCACTGTGCATCAGGGAAATACAAATCAAAACTACACTAAGATACCACCTTACACCCATTAGAATGACAAAAATAACTAAAACAAATAGTAACAAATGCTGGGAGAGGTTGTGGAGAAAAAGGAACCCTCATACACTGCTGGTGGGAATGCAAACTGGTGCAGCCACTATGGAAAACAGTATGGAGATTTCTCAAAAAGTTAAAAATAGAAATACCTTATGACCCAGCCATCCCACTACTGGGTATCTATCCTAAGAACCTGAAATCAGCAATCCCAAGAGTCCCATGCACCCCTATGTTCATCGCAGCATTATTTACAATAGCCAAGACGTGGAACCAACCTAAGCGCCCAGCAATGGATGACTGGATAAAGAAGATATGGTATATACACACAATGGACTACTACTCAGCCATAAAAAAGGACAAAATCGTCCCATTTGCATCAACATGGATGGACCTTGAGGGTATTATGTTAAGCGAAATAAGCCAGACAGAGAAAGACGAACTCTATATGACTCCACTCATAGGTGGAAGTTAACATATGGACAAGGAGAACTGATCATTGGTTACCAGGGGGAAGGGGGGGGTGGGGGGAGGGCACAAAGGGTCAAGTGGTGTACCCACAACATGACTAACAATAATGTACAAATTTCACAAGGTTGTAAACTATCATAATCTTAATAAAAAAATTTTTAAAAAAAGATGTGAGATATATATATATACAATGGAAGACTACTCAGCCATAAAAAAGAACAAAATCATCCCATTTGCAACAACATGGATGGACCTTGAGGGAATTATGTTAAGTGAAATAAGCCAGAGAAGGACAATCTCTGTATGACTCCACTCATATGAGGAATTTAAACCTGTGGACAAAGAGAACTGATCAGTGGCTACCAGGGGAAAGGGGGGGTGGGGGGTGGGCACAAAGGGTGAAGGGTTGCACCTACAACACGACTGACAGACAACAATATACAACTGAAATTTCACAAGATTGTAACCTATCATTAACTCAATAAAAAATTTTTTTTAAAAAAATTTTTTTAAAAAGAAGAAATAGACAATTTGAATAGACCAATCACAAGGAAAGAGATTGAAACAGCCATCAAAAGCATCCCAAAAAATAAAAGCCTAGGAGCAGATGGCTTCCTTGGAGAATTCTACCAAACTTTCAGAGAGGATTTAATACCTACCCTTCTCAAGCTATTCCAAAAAATTAGGGAAGATGGAACACTTCCTAACACATTCTACGAGGCCAACATCACTCTGATACCAAAGCCTGACAAGAACAACACAAAAAAGGAGAAATACAGGCCAATATCAGTGATGAACATAGATGCAAAAATCCTCAACAAAATATTGGTAACCCGAATACAGCAATACATCAGAAACATCATACGTCATGATCAAGTGGGATTAATATCAGGAACACAGGGATGGTTCAACATGTGCAAATCAATCAATGTGATCTACCACATTAACAAAATGAGGAATAAAAACCACATGATCATCTCAATAGATGCAGAGAAAGCATTTGAGAAGATCCAACAGCCATTTATGATAAAAACTCTTAACAAATGGGGATAGAAGGAAATTATCTCAACATAATAAAGGCCATATATGACAAGCCCACAGCCAACACCATACCCAGTGGGGAAAAACTGAACACCATCCTTCTGAGAACAGGCACAAGACAGGATGCCCACTCTCACCACTTTTATTCAACATAGTACTGGAGGTTTTGACCAGAGGAATTAGGCAAGATAAAGGAAGAAAACGAATCCAAGTAGGGAGTGAAGAAGTGAAACTCTTGCTGTTTGCAGATGACATGATCTTATATATATAAAACCCCAAAGAATCCATCGGAAAACTAACAGAAATAATTAACAACTACAGTAAAGTTGCAGGGTACAAAATCAGTTGCATTTCTATATTCTAATAAACAACTTTCAGAAAGAGAAGTCAAGAGTACAATTCCATTTGCAATTGCAACAAAAAGAATAAAGTATCTAGGAATAAATTTAACCAAGGAGGTGAAGGATTTATACAATGAAAACTATAAGATATTATTAAAAGAAATCAATGATGACATAAAGAAATGGGAAGAGATTCCATGCACATGGATTGGAAGGATAAACACAGTTAAAATGTTCATACTACCCAAAGCAATCTACAGATTCAATGCAATCCCAATGAGAATCCCAATGACATTCTTCACTGAAATAGAATAAAGAATCTTAAAATTCACATGGAGCAACAAAAGACCCCGAATTGCTAAAGCAATCCTGAGAAAAAAGAACAAAGTTGGAGGCATCATGATCCCTGACTTCAAAATATACTACAAAGCTATAGTAATCAAAACAGCATGGTACTGGTACAAAAACAGGCACAAAGATCAATGGAACTGAAAGCCCAGAAATAAAACCACACATCTATGGACAGCTAATTTTCAACAAAGGTGCAACAAACATACAATGGAGAAAAGATAGTCTCTTCAATAGATGGTGTTGGGAAAATCGGACAGCCACATGCAGAAGAATGAAATTAGACCATTATCTTTCACCATACACAAAAATGGACTCAAGATGGACCAACATCCCACAACTAGAAGGACCTGCAACTAAGATATACAACTATGTACGGGGGCGGGGTTGGAGAGATAAAGCAGGAAAAAAAAAAAGATGGACCAAAGACTTGAAGACAAGTCCTGAAACCATAAAACTCCTGGAAGATAATACAAGTAGTACACTCTTTGACACCGAACTTAAAAGGATCTTTTCAGACACCATGTCTTCTCAGACAAGGGAAACAAAAGAAAAAAATAAACAAGTGGGACTTCATCAGACTAAAGAGCTTCTGCAAGATAAAGTAAACCAGGAACAAAACAAAAAGACAACTCATCAACTGGGAGAAAATATTTGCAAATCATATATCCGACAATGGGTTAATCTCCAAAATATATAAAGAATTCACACAACTGAACAACAAAAAAATAAACAGCCCCATCAAAAGATGGGCAGAGGATATGAACATTTTTCCAAAGAAGATATACAGATGGTCAATAGACACATGAAAAGATGTTCAACATCACTGATCATCAGGGAAATGCAAATCAAGACTACACTAAGATAATTACCTTATACCCATTAGAATGACTATAATAACCCAGACAAAAAATAACAAATGTTGGAGAGGGTGTGGAGAAAAGGGAACCCTAATACACCACTGGGGGGAATACAAACTGGTTCAGCCACTATGGAAAACAGTATGGGGATTTCTCAAAAAACTGAAAATAGAAATACCATATGACCCAGCTATCCCACTACTGGGTATCTAACCAAACAATCTGAAATCACCAATCCAAGGTAACATATGCACCCCTATGTTCACTGCAGCACTATTCACAATAGCCAAGACATGGAAGCAACCCAAGTGCCCATCAACTGATGATTGGATAAAGAAGATGCAGTGTATACAAATATATACAATGGAATACTACTCAGCCATAAAAAAAGACAAATTCACCCCATTTGCAACAACATGGAAGGCCCTGGAGGGAATTATGCTAAGCGAAATAAGCCAGACTGAGAAAGACAAACACCAGATGATTTCACTCATATGTGGAATATGAACAAACACGTGGACAAAGGGAACAACAGTTCACTGGTTACTGGGGAAGGGGGATGGGGAGTGGGCACAGGGGGTGAAAGGAAGCAGTTATGTGGTGATAATCAAGAAATAACGTACAACTGAAATCTCACATTGATATAAACTATTATGAACTCAATAAAAAGAAGAAAGAAAAAATTATCAGTATGAAGTAGGTAACAAACAAAAAAACAATGAGAAAACAAAAGGAACAAAGTCATTTCCCCTTACTCTACAGTTAAGGAAACCCAAGCCTCAGAGTCCCCATCTGTAAAACGGACATGACCACAGAGGCACCCAGAGGCAAACAGATTAAAGCCCTCATGGGAGCAAGAGATGTGTTCTTTCCACAGCAGCGAGGAAGACAGTAGCTCAAATACACCTGCCCATGGCCTAGAAAACACTTGGAACTCACACCACTATCACAGGTCACTAAAAGCAACCCGCCAGGCCCTGCTAACGAGTAAGACCTGGTGCTTCACCTCGACACAAAACACACACACACCTTAGCACCACACAAGGCCTGTGTAACCATGTGTGATGGAATCATCAACACCAACATCAACATCACCAGCCTCTATTCTTACCAAGGTGTGGGTCCAACAGGTGAGGCTGCTCCTGGTATTTGTCCATTATTACTAAAAAGAAAAACATGAGCATTAACATCACTAAGGCAAACGTGCACATGAGCCCCGGAAACCCTTGCGTCCTCCCTGGCTGACTCCTCTGGCGGGCAGCTCCTCTTCCCCAGCCCACAGGCCACCTGGGGGGAGCTCCCCCACGGCCCCCCAGGCTTCTCAGGGCCACTGTGTCCCGGCTTCACGCTCTTCACTTGCTCAGCACACCTTCCCCTCCGGCCTCCTCTCCCACCTCCTCTGAACCCTCCCTCACTCCTCCTTCCTTCCCTCTCCCGCCAACAGCCAAACTAACTCCTCCCCTTCATTGAACACACACACACCTTCCTCTCTCTTAATTCTCCCTCTGCCAAACACACCCAAGCAACGTGCCCTCCGGCACCGCCTCCCAAGCCCTCACATCACCCCGTCCTAAACCTCAGGCAGCCTGATGCTACTCCTACCCGCTGCTGGAAGGGCTCCCGTCAGACCCACGGACCGCTGCGCCTATGGCAGCCCTCATCTGCACAGACCTCCACACCTGGCCGTTTCCCGGGAACGGTCCCTGGCTGTTCCCTCGCTCTCAGAACAGTTCTGTGCACAAGATGCTGTGAGTGCTAACGCCAGCGGACACCCAAAGAAACGCGCGCAGAGCAATCCAGCAGCTAGCCCAAGTGGCAGCGGGAGGATTCAAACCCAGGGACGAGCTGCCAAAGCGGACGCTCTCTCCACTCGGCAGGCCACACTGCGCCTCTGCCGCACTCAGAGAGCCGTCATTGCAAACCGAGGGAGACAGAATTATGAAGAACTTTCCTCAGCTGAAAGGGTCCACAAAGATGGTTTTACCGAAACCCTACCCCACCTTTTCCCTACCTACCTGCCTCCCTGCGGGATCCTAGGGAATGGTCTGGAAGTTGCCCGTCATAGGCAACTGCAAAGGTCTACCCAAACGTGGAGAATTTAGACGAACCCAGCAACCCACCGTGAGCGTTACCCGCCACGCCGCACTCCTGCAGAAGCGCTCGGCCCCGGGCTGCGCACGTGGTCTTGGCAGGGCCACGGGCGCGTCCGCCGCTCACCACTGTCTCGGAGGAGCCGTGTGCTGTGGGCCCAGGACGGGGTGGGGCGGGATGGAGGCTAGGGCCGCCGCGGACGTCCACGCCCCGCCCTCACCCCGACCTCCACACCACCCACGCTGCCCCGCGACGACGGAGGCGGGAACGGGAGGAGCCGCCGACCCAGGGGAGGCCGCCCTTGCACAAGTACGGCTCTCTCAAGTGTGCGCCCGCCAGGCGCCTCTACCGGCCTGGGCCACCTCAGGGGGCACGGACCACGCAGGGAATGTGGCAGGGTCCAGCCCTGCCTCCTCCCCAGACCCCCGCGGACGCGCGCTCGGGCCCCTGCCCCCGGCCCGAGTGGACGCGCACCTCGGAACCGCTCCAAGACGCCCTCTCGGGCCGCGCGGTCGCCGAGGACTGCCCGCAGGCGGCCGAGCAGCTCGCGCGTCTCCGCGCCGTCGCCGAACGCCTCCAGGACCCCGCCGCGGGCCAGCGCCCCCTCCTCCGCGCCGTCCTCCCGCGCGCCCGCCGCCGGCTCCTCGCTCAGGGCCATCCTCGGAGCCTGGGCCCGCGCAGCACCAGGATGCGGATGCGGGACGCGAGAGGAGGATGCTGGACACGGGATACGGATGCGGAACGCGGGACGAGGCTGCAGGACGGCCGCTGAGGCAGAGGCGGCGGCAACCGGCGCCAGCCCCGCCTCGCGACCTCCGACCTCGCGCACCGGCCCCGCTACGGAGCGCGCCGGCCGCCAAAATAGTGCGCGCGGAGGCGGTGCCGAGGCCGGGTGGGGTGGGTTGTGGAGGACCCCAAGGCCGCGTGTCTGGGGCGAGACGGAAGAGGTGCGCAGGCGGAGCCCGCGGGTGGGGCGGGGAAGACGGAGCCTGGACGCGGCGGTGCCCGCTCCTGGTGGCAAGGACGGAGCTGGGGGCGGAGTCCGCCGGTGGAGTCGAGGAGGGGCGCGGACGGAGCCGCGGGTGGAGTCGAGGAGGGGCGCGGCCGGAGCCGGGGTGGAGTCGAGGAGGGGCGCGGACGGAGCCGCGGGCGGAGTCGAGGGGGGCGCGGGCGGAGCCGCGGGTGGAGTCGAGGAGGGGCGCGGCCGGAGCCGGGGGAGGAGTCGAGGAGGGGCGCGGCCGGAGCCGCGGGAGGAGTCGAGGAGGGGCGCGGCCGGAGCCGGGGGAGGAGTCGAGGAGGGGCGCGGACGGAGCCGCGGGAGGAGTCGAGGAGGGGCGCGGGCGGAGTCGGGGGTGGAGTCGAGGAGGGGCGCGGACGGAGCCGGGGGAGGAGTCGAGGAGGGGCGCGGGCGGAGCCGCGGGTGGAGTCGAGGAGGGGCGCGGCCGGAGCCGGGGGAGGAGTCGAGGAGGGGCGCGGACGGAGGCGGGGGAGGAGTCGAGGAGGGGCGCGGACGGAGCCGCGGGTGGAGCCGCGGGTGGACCTGGGGGCGTGGACGGAGCCCGCCGGTGGACTTGTCACCTGTGTCTGAGCCGTGGGCGGGTGGGAACCGGTCGGGAGCGGAGTCACGGAAGGGGTTGGAGGAGGAGACCCCAGGCCCGTCCCAAGCGCGGCCCCTGGACCATGGGCCCCGCAGCCCTGGCCGGTTCCCCTGCTCGCGCGAGCTACACCCGTCGCATCATCGCGTCCGACAAACTGTGGGCTCTGCGACGATGGCTGGCTGTGTTTGGAAGCCGTCAGACATTTGGAAGGATGAGTTTGGGGTGGACTTCTTTCTAGAAGGTCAACGGGCTCACCTGTCTGTAGCGGGAACGGTCTCTTGAGCGCGAGGTCCACTAGACAACCACACTTTGCAGAAAAGAGAAATTTGAGCTCGCATACCGCCAGGAAATAACTGGTGGTTTTGCAAGGAGTGATAACGGCGTGGTCTCCTGTCTTCAGAGATGCGCACGTGGATGGCCGCAGACCCCGCCCAGGCGCCGCTTGCCCTCGGGTGACCTCTTCCACAGCGACGTCCCCGACATCTGGAACAAAGCAGCCACCCTGGACGCTCCAGGCACACCCCACTGCCCAAGGCACTCTCTCTGCCTTCACTCCTTTTTTAGACAGCGGGAAACAACAGCCGAAAAGTGGAGAACAGGAGAGGGGCTGCGCAGCGGCTGCGGCCAGAAGGCCGGATCCCCACAACATCCGGGGCCTTCCTTCCATCTGTCCCACGGCAGTAGGGGTGAACTCGGAGCTCTACTCCGCCCCAGAGGTGCTACTCAAGAGGTGGGGCCCATCTCATGGTCCCTAACTCTGCCTGAGCCAAAAACAGGAGCCCCGAGTCCACAGGGGACACGACACTAACTTCTGCCTAAGCAAACCCCAGATCTGTATGAATTTCTATAAAACTACCATGAAAATAACCAAATTCCCCCCAGATTATGATGCGTAGTGAGCCTGTGGAAGACTCTTCGGTGCTCTGGACCCCCTGTAAATTAGCCCAACCGCATGGAGGATAGAGACGCAGGTGAAACTAAGACACACAGCAGTCCCATCCCTGAAAGCCCCAGTGGCTTTATTCGTCCCTGAAGCCGCCTCTGGTGTTGCCGCCCCGGTTACTTGAGAAGCTTCCTCATGGTGCCCAGGGACGGGCTCCTATACTCCCGCCCGAAGTGGTTCCAGTGGTTCAGGTAGTTAAAGAGCTGATAGAGCAGCAGCCGCCTGTCGAACCCCGGAGCCTTGGGGATCTTCCGGTGGTAGGCAGTGAAGAAGGATCTGGGAAAACCCCCGAACATCAAGGCAATTGCCAGTTCAAACTCGGAATGGCCATAGAAGGAAGCAGGGTCATAAACAATGGGCCCCGTGTCATCCTCAGCCACATTTCCCGACCAGAGATCCCCGTGAAGAAGGGCCGGGACAATCTCGAGGCCGCAAAACAGATCCGGGATCTTCACCTAAGAAAATAATTATTGTACACGGAGTTATCATGAGCCTGAGCCACAATCTCCTCATCCAATACTTGGAAATAAGGCAAAGATGACCTCGTGTGTGTTCCGGGTCCAACCATGGCACCGCCTACCAAGCACAAAGATAAGGATCCTCTGACTGCAGGGGAATGTAAGTTTGTCTTACTATTTACAACTAATTTAGGTTCAGGAACTCTACAGTACTAATGATTTCCATACAGTAGAGAAGAGAACCTCAGAGGTTACAGTCTTATTGTCCTGTAGAATAGGAACCATACAACCTGAGTGGAGTTCTTGTGTACGTAACTTAGCAAACTTTCTCTACTATTCTTTATTTCACAGCACATATATCTGCACCTCTTTGCATCCTACTGGTTACTTCATTAATGAAGTTAATGAGTTAAATAAACTTTCTTTGATGCATCCTCACCTGGATTGATGTGAGTTGTTTTTAACATTTTGAGAGTTATGTTTTGAAACTAGTCACTCTAGGGCATCTGCCGCCCATAACTGCTCTAAGAGGTGAGACGTTTGTGCTTTGACAGAGAAGGAAGAATGGAGCAAGCATGGATAAGAAAGTAATAGTAAATGCCACCATTTACAAGGCACTTACATTCCACATGAGCAAAGTCTGAGGTTAAGTGCCTGGTGAGCTAGTGGGTGAGAGGTGCACTCAGGGGCCAGGTATGTCCTCAGGTCCCACCCTCTTCCCAGGCTCAGGCCAACAGTCAGGCCCTTATGCATCCACGACTTAACTAGTTCTGCTTCAGGGCTCAGTGGTCCCTAATCTGGCTCACTTCTACCAGAGGGCCCCACATGAATGCGGTGGGCTCATAAGAGGACAGCCCCTCTCCCAGAGGATAACTGCTGTGCCCACCTGTAGCTGTGACCAGAGTTCTCGTGCCTCTCGGTCAGCATAGTCTTTCTCAATGAGGTCCAGCTGTGCCTGGAGCCGGTGCTGGGTGAAGAAGGTCGGCCAGTCATCCTGCCACTCATTCACCTGGGCAAGAAGGGAAAGGAGGCTGGTGCTGTAGCTGGGACCACAGGACAGCGCTAGACGTGGAACCTGCCTAACCCTAGAGCAACCACTAAGAAAACAGCAAATACTGCAGTTAGCCAACAAAGGGGAGAAGACCAGATCATCAAAACACTTAATTATTCCAAAAGAGAGCAGGTAAAGAGGAAAGAAGGAACAAAGAATGGATAAGACATCAAAAACAAATAGCAAGATGACAGATTCAAACCTAGCTGTATCAATAAGCCATTAAATGTGAATGGTCTAAACACCCCAATTAAATGACACAGATCAACAGGTTGGAAAGAGAAAGCAAGACCTGATTATAAGCTGTGTACGAGAAATGCACTTTATATATAAAAACAGAAAGCAGTTAAAAGGATAGAAAAGATACGCCATGCTAATACTAGCCAAGAGAAAGCTAGAGTGGCTATATTAATATCAGACAAAGTAGATTTCAAAGCAAAGAATATCAGTATAAAGAAAGTCATTTCACAGTGGAAAAGAGGTCAACTGATGAGGACATAATAATCCTAATGTTCATGCCCCCAATATATGGCAAATAAGCACATAAATAGATGCTCCACATCATTGAGTCATCAGGGAAAATGGAACCTCAGTGAGATACCACTTCACACTCACTAGGATGGCTATAATTCTTAAAAATGGAAAATAGCAAGTGTTGTGAGGAACTGGAACTCTCATCCGTGGCCGGTGTGAATGTAAAATGGTGCGACCACTTTGGAAAATATTTTGGTAGTTTCTTAAAAAGTTATAAATATGAACCTAGCATGTGACCTAGCCATTTCCCTCCCAGGTATTTGTCCCAGACAAATGGAAGCATTTGTCCACACAAACTCTTGTACGTGAAGGTTCACAGCAGCTTTACTTGTGAAAGCAAAACCTGGAGACAACTGAGATGTCCATCAACAGGTGAATGGATAAACAGACTGTGGTTTATCGTACATGGAACGGACTTTTGACACATGCAACAACATGGATGAATATCGAAATGATTGTGCTGAGTGAAAGAAGCCACACCAAAAAAAGAGGAGATACCATATGATTCCATTTATCTTAAATTCCACAGAATGCAAATTTATCCATAGTGACAGAAAGGAGATCAGTGGTTGCCAAGCGGCAGGAGGGAGATGTGACAAAAGGGCGCAAGGACATTTTTGGAGGCGATGGATCTACATACTGACCTGACTGGGTGAGTGGTTCACGGGCATGTACATATGCCAGAACTTACCAAATTGTACACTTTAAATAGGTACAGTTTATTTTATGTCAATTATACCTTAATAGAGTTGTTTTTTAAAAAAGGATGCAAAGCTTACTTTATACAGAGGGTCACTTTGTGAAGTTCCTTAGCGGAGGAACTTTCCAGAGATCGGACCTGATCTCTCTGGCCAGCATCCTCAGCATGGAGACACTCCCTGTGCTGGATGCTATGGTCGCTTTGCCCCTGGGTTCATCCCCTTGGTGCTAGGTGCACCTCGAAAGCAGGTGGGGAGGCCCCCTCCCCAAACAGCCTGATGTGCACGGGGTGGCAGCCCCTCATTCCCCATCTGCCTGCCCTGGCCTCCAGAATCCAAGGCTCTGTCTTAATCTTGGATGACCAGGTCATAAAAGACATAGATTGAGTGTTGAGAGCTGGAGACCAGTGCTGGCTAGCCCAATCCCTCCAACTGCAGAGAGGGACCGTGATCCCCTCACCCATGGAAAGATCTGACCTTCCCCTGAGCTGCCAAAGGCAGGGCTACCTGGGGACACAGCTGGTGGAAGGACCCAGCCTTCACCATGACACAGGGGCAGGCTAGTGTGGCACTTAGGGCCCACGCTCTGAAGCCAGACTGGGTCAAATCCTGGCTCCTCCACTTACTAGCTGCATAACCTCAGAAGCATCATTTGGCTTCTCTGTGTATCAGTTTCCTCATCTATAAAATGGGTCAACGACATCATAGGGTTGCTATGGCAACTGGGTGAGTTGAGTAAGATAAAGCACTTAGAAGGGAGTCTAGGGCGGGGCAGTAGTTCAATGGAGCCAGTGGTCCCAACAGGGCTTAGCGCACTAGGTGTCTGAGAAGCACACAGCCACTACTCAGGGTTGCCCCACCATGGCCGCAGCTCCCCAAGCACCCACTCACCCCTCCCACAGGGCAGGGAGCCTCCAGGAACTTGGGGCTGGTTCAAGGCGCTACATCCAAGGCCATCTTCTCACAGCTCGAGGAGGCAGAGCAGGTGTCCTCCCAGGTCGCTCGCCCCTTCCTAGCCGGGGTGCAGCTGATCTAAGTTGGCTACTTGATCCTAGAGTCTGAAGGGGCACTCAGGGCCACCCGTGTCCCTAATGGACCAGCCCCATTCTCATCTGCTGCACACATTGGGGCTCTGTGCACTTCATTCCTCGGGTCTTGAAAAGCCACTGTGTGAGGTCAGCCAAGTCTTTGGAGACCTCCCAGCTCTTAAATTCAACATCTGAAGCAGGACAAGGCATGCTCAGCTGTGCCTGCCTGGGACCACTACGACTAGCTCCAGACAGGTGTGTGACCCTCGGGCAGCCAACTTTAGCCGAGGTTTAGGGAGTCCTCACAAGCCTGGTAAAGCACCATGTGCAGTTCCAGGGACCCCAGATGTGAGGCCTGCCCATTGAATGGGATCCCTAAATCTGCCTCAGGCTTCCTCAGGATCTTGCCCCAAGTGCCCTCAAACTGGGAGAGTCGCCCTCCACCCACACGAGGGAGAGACACAAAAGGCCATGTATTGTCTGATTCCATTTACATGAAATGTCCAGAACAGGCAAATCCGCAGACTGAAAGATTGGTGGTTACCAGTGGCTGAGGCAAGAGGAGTGGGGAGCGACTACTAATGGGTCGTGGTCATTCTGGGGTGATGAAGATGTTCTGGAATTAGATAGTGGTGATGGTTGCACAACATTGTAAATATACTAAACACCAATGAGTTGTACACTTTAAAATAGCAGAGTTTATGTCATGTGAATTACATCTCAATAGTGCTAATAATTTTTCAAAGGCCCCAGGCTGAGTGACCAGGACTTAGTTCCTGACATCGCGTGCTGCCCACCCCACCTGCTTCAGTCCCCCACACTCATCACGCATGCTCCTTTGCACCTGCTGTTCCCTCTGCTTGGAATACTCTTCCCCACGGCTCCCACCCACTCCAGGCTCAGGTCATCTGCTCTCCCCATCCCAGCTCACACTTTGCTTTCAGAAATCAGGTGGTCAATCTTCCTGGTGCCCAGGGGACTGACACTCTGCCATATACAGGGGTGGGATGACCACTTAGCAGGGGCATCCTCACCCAGGCACTCACCTGCGGGATGAAGCCGCAGTACGTCACCGTGTGGAAGCCGAACTTGGCCACATACTGGGGCTCAGCACCCTCAGCCCTCCGGCCTGTCGGTAGAAAGAGCTGCTTGTCTTTCTCTCACGTGCCAGACCTCAGCAGAGCAGCAGGACAGGCCTGGCTGGACTGCTAGAACGTGGGTGGTCTGAGGACGTGCTGCACATGGTAGCCATCGGTCAGCACACGGATCAACCAGGCCACTCCCACCACAAGCACACTGGACGGCAGGGCTGGGTGTAGAAGGGGTCATGAGCCAACTCTACCAGCTCGTCAGCTCCATCAAGGTTCTCATTTAACAATCTCGTTGTCATACTGCAGTGTAATGGGAGATGGTCACACCGGCATCCATCCAGGGTAGGTGCAGCCACGTCAGGGGCAGGAAAGCAACCTGAACATACCCACTGTGCTCGCCTCCTCCTTCCACTTCTGCCTCAGACTCTGGTTGTAAAGGTGCAAATCCGCCATCTGGTCTCCAAGTCTTGATGCCTGACTGAGGGAGGAAGAAATGCAGCCAATTAAAATGAGAAAGAACAACCACCAGCTAGCACATTCCATGTTGAGAAATGTCTTAAATACCTTAAAAACTACTCCGCATTCTTTAACAAGCGGGAAACGAGCTGCAGGCAATGACCCTTTCCAAAAACAAAGTCAGCAGGAGAGGGTAGGTGGGCTTCAGCAGAAGCCTTAAGGGGCGTGGGGATTAAGGGACAAATGCCTGAAAGTGGAAAACCAGCCCCCAACTTTGGTAGAAACAAATGTAAGTCACATATAAGAAAAGACTGGGATGACAATCCAGCAGCAACAGGTCAGCAGTGGCTCGTCCCTGCTGATGGAATTACGGGTGGTTATGTCTTCTCACATGAGTTTGTGTTTTCCACTTTTTTCTTTTACAATGAATATACATAACCTTAATAATTAGAAAAAATGTTAAGGACTTCAGATAATTACTAGATCAGACCTCGCTCTGCCCAAACTGAGCTGGCATGGGTGCACTCTCCAGCACAAGGCAAGGGATGGTTCAAACACGCTTCTTCTATGCAGCTTCACTGGAGTCAGACTAACCTAACACCAGCCCTACACCAGCAAGCAAGAACTCCTCCTTACCACTGAGAATGGCGGTGCAATTCCTGGCCCTGCCTCTGGTAACTGGGCCCAGTTATGCGAGCAGCTCAGCAAGAGGCTGCTCCTTCTCCTGTCTCTGTCTGTCTGACTCTCTCTGTCTCTCCCTCTTTCTCTGTCTCTCTGTCTGATTCTCTCTCTCTCTCTCTGCCTCTCTATCTCTCTCCATCTCTGTCTCTGTCTCTCTCTCCCTCTCTCTCCATCTGTCTGACTCTCTCTCTCTCTCTCACACACAGACACATGCTCACGCTCACCTGCTCAAACTCCTCATCTTCAGATGCTCCATCACAAAGGCGGCCCCACCTCCTGGCAGGTCAATCACCTTGATGGGCCGAGGTGCCCGCACCAGGCCAGTGCTCCGGAGGGCCTCCAGGCTGGCCATCTCCCCCTCAAACATCTGCCGGGCCTGCGTCCACAATACTGCATGAGCTCGGACTCCAACAGCAGCCTCTGCAGCCAGGCTGTGGCTCGCAGCCCTGAACAGAAGCCACCGCGGGGAATCACAAGCACCAGGACCTTCAGTTTCTGAAAACTGGCTGGGAGCCAGGCACTGGCCGCTCAGGCAGTGGGTGCAACGTGGCCCCCTTGGGATGGGAAGGGGATGCAAGGATGAGGCTGCACCTGGGGCTTGCAGTGAGCAGGATGCTGACATCCCTGCAGCGAGTGCTTGCTGTGAGAGGTGAGGAAGCACAGGCTACAGAGGGAGGTTCCAGGAGTGCTGGGAGTACTGTGGGGTGCCAGGGGGTGCAGGTGGGGTGCCCCAGAGTACGGGTTAGTGGAGGGGCTGGGGCTGGGCCTGGGTCCCCTTCTGGCTTACTCAACCCCTCACTGCCTCAAGCAATTACAGCAAGGAGGGGTGGCATGCTGAAGCAACTGGGGCACATGTTTGGGGCAGGGGAAGGCGGGGGCTGGGAGATGGGCTGGGCCTGGCCTTGGGTCCAGGGCCGGTCCCCAGGGACAGCACCGAGCAGGACCTGGGGGCTGGGAAGGAGCTGTGCACCCAGCAGAGAAGACGATGGGCCGCTCCCCCAAGCAGCAGAACAGCCTCCACTGGGACCCAGGGGCCTTCCTATTTCTAAAACACTTCCCACAAATATCCCAACTTTAAATTAGGTGAACTCTCACCTTAGGTAGACTATAGCTCAGTTAAAACTGCACTTAATAAAATGGTTTCTAAGATCTCTAACTACAGACTTGCATGTTTAAAAAAGTTAACCATCGTGAACAAGACCAAAGCATCTATTTCCACACAGGAAAAGAATGCCATCCTTTAATGCAAAGCACCTGACAGGAAAACCAGGCTAACTGCCAACCACACCTGGAATCGTGGAGCAGGGGCTGTCGGCGCCCCGAAGGCCTCACCTGTCCCTGCTCTCCTGCACTGACTGCGCGCTATGGTGTGCCGGCACTGACAGTTTCAAGGGTCGGGCCTAGAGGAGCTTCCCGGGACCAGCTGTGAAGGTTCCAGGACAGCGTAAACCCTGAACCCAAAACTGCTTCCCGGAGGGGGGGCTTACCATTTTGAAGGGTTTTAGTTCTGAAGTCAGATTCCTCAACCGTTCCCTGTGCCAACAGCTCAGGGATGCTGGTCCAACCCCAACCGCTCATCCATCCCAGAGGTGGGCAGGGCTGCAGGGGGACTGGGAGGGGTCACACCCCCACCACTGCCACACCTCAAAGGGGCACAGCCCCCAGAGCACGGCCCAGGCAGCACAGCCCTTGGCACCTGGGTGCTTTCCTCATTTGTAAGGTGTTATAGTTTCCATATTTAGTTAACAGTAATATTTCACGCAAGCCATGGAAACCAAACAAAAGCACAGTCTGTGAATAGAGGGAGTGTTCCCCTGGCCCTTGGGGTCCTTCTTGGGGTCCTGGCCTCCCTCCTGACTCTTCCCACCTGCTGAGGAGAGCCCACGGGTGCGAAGAACCCGAGGCCAGCGCTGGGTCTCGAGGAGGGGCAGAAGTAGCCAGACTCCAAACCTCGTCGCCCCCATGCTTGAGGGTAGAGAAATTAAAACAACCAACCAAAAACTCCTGTGCATCCATGCAAAAGGAAATAAATGAATCCTGCAGCAGACAAAACCCCGGGATCCCACAGAAAATGCTTGGGCCCTGCTCTCCCTGGAGCTGCCAGCTCCACAAGGCCACGGGCAGGCTGCCCCCGGGCTGCGAGTGCAGGCCCAGCCCAGGAAGAGGCTACCTTGCCCCTTGTCCCGAGCCCCTCCCCCTTCCCCGCGCCCCTACCCCTACCCACTCCCCTCATCTCTTCCCACCCACCTCCACCCCAACCCCCTCCCCCTCTCAGCCCTGGGGGGCCGGCTCAGGCCGCGGTCGGGGGCGGGGGAGTGGGGAGGGTTGGGGGGTGCACCTGCGTCCTGCGGTTGACCTTGACGAACACGGGGCCCGCGTCCGTGTCGTAGGCGCGCCCCTCGCTAATGAAGCCGGCGCCCGGGCTCCCGAAGGCGCGCAGGGTCGCGGTGCGCAGCTCGGTGCGCAGCAGCTGCTCCATAGGGGCGGGGGACGTGGGGACACGGGGGATACTGGGACCAAGGGGAGGGAAACACGGGGACGAGGGAGGGACCCGGGGATGGCGCAGACGGCCCAGCCGGGGATCGAGCTCCGGCTGCCAAGGCGGCTGTCCGCGGGGGAGGGGCCTGCGGGCTCGGAGCACCCGGCCCCGCCTCCCGGGCAGGGTCCACCCTCAGCCTGTTCTCTCCCGGAGTGGGGCAGGCGCGCTCCCCATGGGGGACCGACCCAGCTCTTAGAGAGGGAGGGACGAGGTCTCTGATAGGAGGACTGAAGCGGGTGGTGCCCTGCCCAGGTACCCACACAGTGTGCCCTGACAGCCTGAGGTGGGGTCCACCTGCTACAGGCACTCCCAGAGCCGGGCTGGGCCTGACATCCCTGCACAGAGGTTCCATGAATCCTGGCGGGGCCCTGGCCCAGACCCCTCCCACCCGGCTGGACACAGGACACTGTCCAGAGGAGACGAGGCTGTCCCTGGGCAGCAGGTCACAGGCCTGCCTGGGTCTCACACTGTCCAGACAAGGCTGGGGGTCTCATCATGCCCAGCAAGTCTCCAGGTACTGCCCAGTGACACCCGTTGCTGGCGCTGGGTTTGCTCCTCAGGGTGCCTGGTGCCCATCAGAGATAGAGGCTGCTCTGGGGTTTCTGATATCGGGCAGCTGCCCCTGCCCCAGGTGGGACTCCCGATTACAGAGACTGGCTGCCTTGGGAAGGGAGCTTCAAAAACACACACATGCCCGTGTGCACACATCTATGCACTGGCATGTACAAGGTCATTGCACAAGAGCAAGTGGGACAGGAGAGATTGTACGGCCATCTGTCAGGGGCATGTGCCCTTCCATGTGTTCCTCCTCCTAGCTTTCTTCTCTCAGTCTAGTGAAGCCCACCCTGCTACTGGATCTTGGGAAAGGACTCATGAGCCTGGCCCTCCAGCTTCTCCCAGCACCCTGGGGGAGACACTGGTCTTAACTGAGCCCCCTTCCGGGCCTTGGGCATGGTTTGCCCAAGCAGGGTCTGAATGTGACGGGTGGCAGCCAGGCAGTGGCACACCATCTTACTGGTCCCGAACCTAGGTATTTGGAGTCACTCCCCAGGCCTCCCAGCATCCGTCTGAGCAGCCCTGGGTCCGAGCGCAGAATCCTCAGCATGAAGACATGCCAAGAAGAGCATTTTGACTCTGCATACTGGCGCCACCCTCCTCCCAAACCTGCCTTAGAGTTCTGGTTTGTGGTTGGGAGCTCAAGTGGGAGATGTGACTCAGGCACTTCCAAGCTGCCCTGTGAGCTGTGAGTCCCCTTCCTCACCACGGCCAGTCTCCTCATTCTCCCGGTTCTCCCAGAACCACAATTATGGCTGCAAAGATGCAGAAGGTGCCTCTCAGGCACAGCTGGAACCCAAACTCAGGGAGCTGTGACAGGAGCTCTCAGGACTCAGCATCGTTAAAGGGAAATGTGTCTGGGAGGTGTGGATCTGGGTAGTGGGACAGGCCGAGGTACCAATGGGGTCACTGTGCAGAGGAAGGACTCTCCTGCTTACTCAGATCCCCTTACTGTGAACACAGAGTCAGTGGCACTGAGAACGAAAAAGCCCGCAGGCAAGCAACAGCCCATTGCTCCGTGTTGGGGGAGTCTTGGGGGGGGCGCTTGTAACACTGCTCAGAAAAGGGGCCCAGGAAGGCAGCTGAGGGCACGAACCCCAAGGCCATCACCACAGCCCAGTCTGAAATCAGGCAGCAGGGTAGGGGATGGGGTCCTGAGGCCCTGGCTGAAACCTGGAGCCAATGGACACTGTCCAGGTGTCACCGCTAGTCCGTCATTCCAGCCTCCACACGGAACTGCACTGGGACCACGCCCCCTGGGCAGATGGTTGTTCTCGGAAAGGGACGGGAATTCTGCCACTTCAGAATTCAGAGATGGCTGTGAGCCAGCTGCTTTGCTACGCCCACCACAGTCCCCCAGCACGCCAATCCCTGTTTCTGAACATATTTCAGTGTGTCCACATACTTCTGCCACAAGGAAACCCAGGCAGGGAGGCAAGTTCTCATGCAAGAAGCTTTTGGAAGCAAATTTCAGTGGGAGAACATGGGGAGGATAGAAGCAGCAACCCTCCCAAGTGGGGAGACATGCACCAGACACGCTGAGCAGCACTTACGGGCAGGCAGTGCCCCCAGGAAGCTCGTCTCTGACACCCCGTGGGTGTCTGGATCTGAAGCTCAGGTAACGTACCCAAGCCCCCCCTGCGCTGGTCTTCCTGATGCCAAGTGCAGAATGGTTTCCATCACACCGGAGTGGACTGTCCTGAGGTTTTTAAGATGGTCTGTAGTTCCTAAGACCTCCACTAGGATCCGCCATGGAGATAACGCACGTCTAATGTGATGCAGTGTGAAAACGTCTGTTAGTTTCATGTCTGTTTGGAACAGAGGTAACTTCGTCTCGGGGTCAGGTACACTGCTCTCTGTAGAGAAGTGAACTTCTTTTCCACACTTGCATTTTCCTCCCTTATTTTGGCTGTAATTACCCAGATTCTCTTTGGTATTTTCTGTTTGTTTGTTTGTTTTGTGAGGAAGACTGGCCCTGAGCTAACATCCATGCCAATCTTCCTCTATTTTATGTGGGATGCTGCCACAGCGTGGCTTGACAAGTGGTGCTAGGTCCACACCACGGAGGATCTGAACCTCTGAACCCCGAGCCGCCGAAGAGGAGCACATGAACTTAAACACTCAGCCACAGGGCCGGCCCCACTTAGATTCCCTTTGAATCCCAAAGTATGCCAAACACCATTTCATAAGAGAGTCCCATCTGCCTCAACGGTTTATAAGTGTCCCTCCAACGCTGCCCTGCAGACATCAGCCTCAAGACAGCAGAGTAAATGGGAGGCCTCCACGGCCACCAGGACCCACCTGTGAGGGGCTTGGTGCGCCAAAACACAACCGTCACAGAGCCTCGGCTTTTGTGTTTAGGGGCATCCATCCAGGCTCAGACCCTGTTCCACAAGAGTTCCCACAAGAGTTCCCTCAGTTCTCTCAGCCCATGTTTTGAGCCACAAACCTAGAATGAGCCTAAAAGAGATCTCAAAATCCAAGCCCTGAAGATACACACTTCACCCCAAGACAGCCTTCCTGGCCTCACCCTCATTCTGCTTAGACCCCACTGGCTATATGATTCCTGGTATTTCCAAAGCAGCAGGTCAGATTTGAAGGAGGGAAAAGTGAGCGGGGGGGAAAAGGGAACAAAGGGAGATGAGTAACCAAGACAAAGGGAGAAGTCTCACGTGAAGTGTTAATAATAACAATGATGGGCCAACAACCGAAGGGGGGATCACTCAGCCCTCTGCACCCAGGACCCCATAAAGGGCAAACACTGGGCGGGTACAGCTGGCTGAGGCTCCTCAACACGAAGCAAACGGCCTGAAATGTTTTTAAACGCATGGAGGGAAGCAATGTAATGACTGATTCCAGTGAAGACTCCAATTAGGAAGGCACTAAAGTCCATCCATATCCTCGTTTAAGGGAGAAAAGCCCATGTTTCAGTTCCGCTGTCATCAACAGGATGCAAAATGAAACGCTTTCGGGTGGAGAACTAAACTGCAATTATCTAGATTTACTTCTGTGGAAGGGCTGATACCCTGACAGGAGCAGATATAATGAGGTATTTTCATACAATAATCTCATTTTCAGTAAGAAATAAGTACGACCACCCGAGATGAGAGCTGAGGGACCTGGACAGGCGCTCGGGGCAGCGGCCAGCCCCCTGCACCTCCTGCCTCCGAGGCCTCCTGTGATGCTCACGGCGGGTCCAAACAGCACAAACCTCTCCACGCTCTTCTCCACAACCAAGGGGCCTAGGTGCTGCATCCAGAGCTAGTCCCTATGGGTCTAGCCAAACCTCCCCGTTATTTCAGATGTCAGCAGGCCACTCAGCAAGGACAGGAGGCAGGCTGCTGTCAGGACACCAGCATACAAGTGTCCCGTGAAATTATACCTCTAAATCAAAACCTCACTCCCCCCGCCACCCTCCACCGATCCAGAAGCCCAGAAAACAGATGCTCATCCTCATTTGGTATGTGCACAGAGGGACTTTCATGGAATGGAACAATCCACAGCAACTCTGGGTGGGTCCATGGAACTTTGGGCTTGAGGCTTATAAGATGCTGGCGACCCTTTATCCATAAAAAAAAAATATATATATATATAAAATTATAAATACAAAATTAGGTACCATACATACATATTTGCTATAAACTGCAAAGCTTAGAAAGCCAGAAAGCCCTGCAGCACTGTGACCACTGTCGATCAGCTCAGTGCCTGCCAAGCTTTCCCCACGTCTCCACCTTGGCTACTCCCTCGCCCACGGCCTCCCTGAGATGCATGTGGTAACACTTCTCCCACTGGAGGACTGAAGCGTTTTCCCGGATACAGTTTGGGAAAGCTCAGGCCTCAGCTCTCATCCCCAGTACCGCTATGCTGACATAGAAGTGATGTTCAGGCCCCAGAGGGGGACGTTGTGGGGCAGAATCAGCCATTCCCTGTACCTGGCACAGCACCCAAGAGGACTCTCTCAAGAGGGGGTCCAGCCCATCCTCCTTGTCGGGCAGCCCAGCATCCTGTCACCTGCTCCAGTGACCAGCAACCACCAAACCCAGCGGGGACCTGCGAGCGACACCACCGGGAGCCAGAAAGCACCCTTCCCCTTGCCAATGACTTGTGGTTCTGCTCGGGGCACTCATCTACTTGATGGTTCATGCGAATTTGGGAACATGAGATGGAGAGCCTTCTGTTAACATTCTTGAACTGAACAAATACACGTTCTATCCAGCCTCTGCCCTCTGACCTTTCTGCTCCCACTTTAACCACTGAAGAGAAGGAGCCCTGGGCAGCACCTCCCAAAAGGTGTCAGCTGCAGAACAGTTATCTCTTGGAAGACCTCAGGTCCACCACCGCGGAAACCAAAACCATCCTGGAAACCAGTCTGTTACCAACACAGGGGAACAGGGCAGCATCCGCACATCGGAATGAAGCTGGCTCATGGCATCCTTCCCTCAGAGACAGTTACCAGTTTCCCCAGGGGGTAAATAGGCTAAAATCTTGGCAAACAGTAGTCCAGGTATCACCATGTCTGAAACTCCCACAACCACACGCTCTTAACAGTCACAGTCCTCTCTCCCTTCCCACAGAACCAGAACTCTGAAG